CAGATACGTGAGGATCTGAGCTTAGATCCCTAACATCTATATAAAAGTCAGGTGTCACCACATGTACCTGCTGTCGAGCACAGGCAAAATGGATGGAGACAGTGAATCCAGCAGAGATGATGAGCTCAGGTTCTCTGAGAGACCCTGTCTCAAAAAGCAAGATACCTAAGTTGACAGCTGGCCTCTACAAATGCACACATGGGCAAATGCACACATACACAGGCACACAAGACCACACCTACAAAGCAAAAAGAAAACCCATAGAATGAGGGAAAAATCTGGCCAACCATGCATATGATGAAGAACTTGTACCAAAAATATATTGCAAAAAAAGAAAAAAATCTTAAGGATCTTAACAGACATTCTCCAAAGAAGATACACCAAGATAAACATGAATGCTCAAATCATTTTTCATCAAAGCAGCACAAACCCAAACTCCAAGGAAAGACTATTTACTCAACACTACCAGTGATGACTAGCTAAAAAGACACACAATAGTAAGTATTAGTGAGGAGCCAGAGAAAGCAGACACTTATATACTACTCTAGCTAGGAATACACAATAGTACAAGCCATTCTGAAGAGAATCCGTGCATTCAAAAGGTTAAAAACAGAGTTACCGCTTGATCCTGTAATTCTAATCCTAGGGATATAGCCAAGAAAAGCAAAAGGATGCCTTTACAATAACAGCAGCATCAACAACCAAAAGAAACAACCCTAGTGGCCATCAACTGACAAATGAATAAATAAAATATGGTGTACACATATAATAGAATATTATTTGACAATAAAAAATAAGTGTGCCTAGTGAAAACAGTCCGAAAGGACTATATATGTGTACATATATATATGAAACTTTTTTTCTTTTTCAAGATAGGGTTTCTGTGTAGCCATGGCTATCCTAGAACTCTGTAGATCAAGCTGGCCTTTAACGCAGAGATCCACCTAATTCTGTCCCCAAGTGCTAGGATTAAAGACGTACGCCACCACCACCTGGCTAAAATTATTTCTATTTACATGAAATGTTCAAAATAAGCAAATCCATAAAAACACAATACAAATTAGTGTTTTCCTGGGGTAGGAGGGATAGGAAAGTAACTGCTGATAGGTTTGGCGTTTCTTTTCAGTATGATGACAAGATGCCTTAATTTGTGGTGACAGTTGCACAGCCCAACAAATATACTAAAAACCACCAAATTAGTACTTTAAATAGGTGAGCCGTATGGCATACAAATTATGTGTCATAAAATTGTTTTTAAAAAATTATATACATATGTATGTACGTATGCTATCCCCTAAATAGAAAACAGTACCTTAGAAGAGCAATGTCAAGTAAAGGCAACGGATGCTACGTTATAGATGTTACTAGATGATTCAGCCAGTGGTTCCCAGCACAGTTCAGACTGCTGCATATAAATATCCCCGAAGATTGGCAGTCCTTGGGTTCTCCAGAGTACCTAATTCTGGGTCTACTGGGGAAGCTAGAGTCGTACCGTGTTTCCAAATCAGTCTAATATGCATCCAGGCTTGGGAACCATGGGGCCACTAAGGCCTTTGTTCAATATCTTCATGAGTTTGTGGTATCTGAGATGCTTTGTCCCTAGTATAGATCCTAGCATTTTATACACACTGATTCCTTCACAGAACTCACCTCCTTCAATGAAGAGTCTGAGCTTAGGAAGCAGAGGCTTCAGCTGATCTCAGAAGCCCGCATTTACTTCTCTTTCCTGTACCCATCCCATGCTCCTTATTTAAACCACCTCACTTTTTGGAAAAGGGCCAGTTTAAATAAATAGAATAAATTTCTCGAAAACTATGTTTCTCAAGCTGGACCATACTGGAGAGTTAATTTTTTACTAATGATTATAATTCAGTATATTTTTACATTAAAATACGGATACATCACAGAATTGAATGCAACTTTTCTCATGAATTTTAATGATGAAGTCCAGTAACTTAAAGCAAATTTTATACTTGCCAAAGGACATATTCTGGACTATGGTCCTAGATTATAAGGGTGTAAACTCTCCTTTTATAGCTAGTACTTCTGGTAGAAAATCTTGGGAAGTTGGGGCATAGGTAATAAGATGAAATTCCCTTTCCTTCAACATGTAGACAAGTCAGCGAGGCTACTCCTCTTCAAGAGAAGAGGAGGGAAGTCTGGATTGAATACAAAACTAAATGTTAACCTATTATCACTGAGGGACAAGCCCCTGGCTGCTGGAGATCGGGGCTACATTTTATCCTGCCCTAGTGTTTCAATAAGACAGGTATCAAGTGTGCACCTTTACAAGTGTGCTCTGATTGCCTCGCTGGGCTTGTCTGACCCACTGGTCCATGAAGCAAGCCTTCCTGGGGCTCTCAATCCATCATCACTACGAAGAAAGTGCTCCCCTGAATTTGCATTCTTCCTCTTGGATGCAGTTCACTGTTACTGCCCCTTCCCCACCCCCACCCTCACACAGTTCTTAATCAGCTTATTTCTCAAAAGCATTTCTGAGAACTTCACCCAGGGATGAAACATCATCAGAAGAGTGGAATTACCATATCAGCTCTGCTACAGAATTCCCTAAATCTACTAGAGTTCCTTCAGTACTAAAATAGAAGAGTGCAATACGATGATCTTAGGGCCCTTTCTAGCTCTTAAATTCTCCATTCACCATGCTTGCCAATACTGAAGGCAAACACTGCAAATTGTAAAGTCAATTCCAAAAACAGGCTGGAACGCTCCTTCCATCCCAGTGATCTTTCTTGTATTATCTAATGCTTTCTCTCTGTCATAGGTTTTATTTCAACAATGCTCAGATTGGTCTTAGATGTCCCTCACTGATCGCACGGAACAAGTTTCCATCAGGGAAGTCTATTCTCTTCTTCTTTCAGTAGCTCTAGGCCAGCAATGCACTCCACCAATGTCCCTGTGCTGGTTACTTTTATGTCCACCGGACACAAGCTGGAGTCGTCTGGGTGGAAGGACGCTCAACTGAGAGAATGTCTCCAGAAGACTGACCTGTAGGCAAGCCTGTGGAGCATTTCCTGCTTAGTGACTAATGTGGACGAGCCCACACCACTGTGGGTGATGCCATCCCTGGGTAGGTAGCCTGGGGTGTGTTAAAGAGCAGGCTGAGCAAGTCCAAAAAGCAGCCTTCCTCCATGGCCTCTACATGAGTTCCTGCCTCCAAGTTCCTGCCTTGGGTTCTCTTCCCAACTTCCCTGAATAATGGTTATAAGCTTATAAGATAAAACAAACCCTTTAGCAATGCTGTTTTATCAAAGGAATAGAAACCCTAGACTTCACCAAATGCACCTACACTTTGTAGATCTGTTTTATGTGAACGCACACCTCAGCAAATCTCAGGGCTCTTTTCTACAACACATCACATGAACACGGCCTCACACTTGCTTCAGTCACGCACCTACCTGAATTCCCCCTCATAATCCTATTTTTCCTTCACTTCTGAAGGAGGAGGACAAACACCACCTCCTCCACACAGTTTTCTCTGAACACTACTGTAAATTCCAGGGACACTTTGATATAATGCTTCTTTGGTTTCTGGTATATGTCTCCCTCCACCGGGCAGATTTCAGACAGAAGAGACTATACAGTAATGCTCAGGTCACAGCTACTGCAGGTGGGCCTCTCAATTTTAAATACAGTCAACACCAACCCCATGGTTTCTAAGGAGGCAGCATTTAACTAGAAAAGTTTTTTAATCAAACAGAAATTTATGTACAATTATTAAAAACCCTTTCAACAAACTCATCCCACTCCTGTCAACAGTAATCTCGCAGCTGTATGAAACTTAATGTAATTCTTTAGGCTTTAGCTAGTACCTTGCTGTCGTAGTCAGGGTTTCTATTGCAGAGAAGAGACACATGATCATGGCAACTCTTGAAGGAAACACTTAATTGTGGTAGTTCATTTACAGTTCAGAGGAACATCCATTATCATCATGGCACAACATGGTAGTGTGCAGGCAGACATAGTACTGGAAAGGTAGTTGCTACATGTTGATATGCAGGCAGCAGGAAGTAGACTGTCTCACTGGGCATGACTTGAGCATATATGAGACCTCAAAGTCTGCCTCCACAGTGACACACTTCCTCTAACAAGACCACATCTACTCCAACAAGGACATACCTCCTAATAGTGCCATGACCTTTGGGGGCCATTTTTATTCACACCACAATGCTCACCTTTAAATGGAAGATAGAGGAGTGGGGGACTTTCAAAGTAGGTCACTAAACTATCAAATAGAGTTTGAATGAACCAAAAAATAAGGTCCAGAAGTCAAATTGAGAAAACAGTTTTAATCAACAATTAAACTTCTTTGATTAATATAGCTATTATAGCATATTGGAATTTGAAAATGAAAGAAAGAAACATTCAGACAAAATGGCACCTGTTCTTTATCAGTCATGCAGAAAACCCAGCTGTTGAATAGACTGTATATGCTCTGACAGGTACCATGACCCTTTTCCCCTAATGGTAAGTCTTCTTGCTTTAATTCCAGAAATGTTGGATTTTTTATTACAAGGTTTGGGTTTGGCTTACTACAAAACATTCAGTCTAGTCTTCCTTTGAGGTGACACTAAGACAACAGATGCGCAGTCCAAATCTGCCACTTTTATTTCCACAAAAAAAAGGAAGGAAAAGAAAAAAGAAAAGCCTCTTAAAAAGTCAAGAAACCCTCTTCCAAGCAATATTTTGTTGAAGTGTTAGTAAACATTGGAAAACTGACTGCAGGAATAAACCATCAGGTCAGAACCAAGGGAATGTCTTCAATATGTCTTTAAGTTGAAGAAAAATTATTTCAACCAATACTGTAGAATTAAAGGTCCCAAAGTAAAACTATGACGAAAATCTCTCTTCTTTAACTATTTTGGCACATGAAGAGCTGCATTATCTCACAGAAGGGGAAACTACAAGTGACTAAGCGATTATCAATGCCAATTTTGTTTTCTTTTCAACAAAGGCCATGAGAGTGAGACTATGGTACTCACATGAAGAGCAGAGGGGTCTGGCAGGAATTCAGCATCCTCTCCAAAGATGAAATCGGGGGGCAGCTCTGGGTACTGAGCATTGAAAATTATGTCCCCTGAAATATAGAAAAATCACAAGCTCTTCTTATTCCCTTGCAAATGGACAGTCTTAAGAATGCATCAGAAAAACTTGAAGAAACTTATATTTAGTTTAAGAAACAAATTTGAAAAGTACTTTCTGAATGATTAATTCTTCAGATAAAGGAACTGATATCCTCTTTGAAATTACCATCCACAATAAGCAATCAAAAAAGTGCAATACACTATGAATATAAATACCCTAGTAGGAAAGTAGAAGCAGCCCCATGCAGCACACACGCTGATTATTTTTTACAGGAAACACAACTGTCCAATCACTGCTTGCTAATTAAGAAGCCTTTACTGGAAACTGATTCTGTATAAACACAGTCCTTGCCTTGTAGAAATTAAACGCACACACCTTTGAAGTAATGGAAAGAGCATCTGGCTTGAAGTCAAATAGGCCTGGTTATATTTTCAGGGTTCCCTAATCACTATTAACTCAGAGACCTTTGGAAGGCTTTGACCACTTACCCTTCTGTTTACCAGTAAACGAGCGGTGCAGTAGTACAGTGGCGCAGTGTGTGCACTGGTGCAGTGGTGTAGAGGTGCAGTGTTGCAGTGGTACCTGGTGCAGTGGTACAGTGGTGCAATGGTACAGTGGCACAGTGGTTTAGTGGCGCAGTGCCACAGTGGTACCATGGTACAGTAGTACATTGCACAGTGATGCAGACATAACCGACCTACTGTGTGAAGTGAAGGAGGCAGTGTGCTCAGCACCATGTCTGCCATTCAGTAAGGTCTCAACAAGTCATAGAGAAGAGCCATGTTGATAGTGGGGATGTTCTTAAAGGTAAAACAGGATTCGGAGCCTCAGGAGCACAGTAAAGTTGAAAGGTCTCCCTGTCTGTTTCTTTCTGTCTCCTTATTTGGCCACTGTGTTCTCTCTACTCACCCACAGCTTCAGTCCTATCTTTCTGCTAATGCAAATCAGCAGACTGGTTTGCAGAGAGTCCAGCACACACTGGGCCGTAAGCATTTTATGGTGTGTGCATTTCTGGACACACACACATAACACAGTTGTCGGTCCATTCACTTTCACTGCTATAGAACAAGATTTACATAATGCTACCTGAAATGAAACGTCCGGCTTCACTTCTAAATTGAGCCCTTACATCTGTACGCACTAGGCATTTCACAACAGGCTCGACAAGCATAAAGGTGTGATTGTGACAGCCCAAGCTCATATACTCTAGAGCATACGCTGTCTCAATAGTTCCTCCAAATAACCTAGCCTGGACTGTCCCTGCTGCTCCCAGCTCTATCCAAGCCCAGCTCAGCCCATCCACCATCACACTTTCACTGAATAATGAACTGAACTTTGCTCTAGAGACTACACTAGGCACTGACACCCAAGAAATCAGCTGCCCTCCACCCCACAGTATACACTAACCCACAAGTAAATCTTACTGAAGTACTGCATTACTTGAAAACTTGCAACTCAGAAAATTTCATTAATTCTCTCATGTTCAATATTGTAATGGCAAACCTTACAAAATGGTTCTTAAGACCTCCAAAAATGATGTTCTTCCCTATTTAGCTACCCTTCTGTTCATCTACAAGCCAATACAAACCATCTATTCTGGACATTATGATCAACTCAATGCCTTCCAAACACTATGGCACCCATGTCAAACAGCTCTCCTCTTGCTCGGTTTACATCACTCACGAACCCACTCGAATTACCTTATTCTTCATGATACTCTTCCTCATTGTCTGCAAAATATTGATCACTGTTACTTATGAACTTCATCAGTACTGCTTGGTTACAACACTGCTTGAGTAATTGATTATAGTCTTATACTGTTTTATGGCTCTATTAATTTTAAAAAATTACAAGCAGGAGCTACATATGAGGCACTATGATATACTGTTCATTCAAAAATACCCATCCTAAGCGGGCTCACATTTCATGCAGGAGACAAGAACACAGAACCTTCTAGACACAACAGGACTGACATCCATGTGCACTCACAGACTGTGGCAGCACACACAGGGTCTGTACAGGTCTAAGCCAGACAAAGTCTCAGTGCTGAGAGATGAGTGGACACACCTCCCACCCCTAGCCTAAAAGCTGTATTTCCAACTGATCGCCACTCAGAAAAGGAAGAAAGAAAGGGGGGGGATGGAGGAAGGAAGGAAGGAAAGCAGGCAGGCAGGCAGGCAGAGAATCACCTCTAAACAGTATATGGTAAGTACACATACTTGATCTTTCTACATATATTGTAAGCATCCAGAAAATAAATGAGTTTTTGTGCTCATTTCATGTCTCTTACAAGGCAAAGTGCAGCTCCCAGAGAATCCATTTTAGAAAGGCTCAGAACATGAAGACAATGGTATCTAAGTGCTGAGGAAGTCTACAGTGACAAACAAGCACAGCAGAGTTTCAGCCAGCACTTCCAGGAGGACTAGGCTTAAGCAAGGAAATGTATGGGAAGTGGGTACAGATCAAACTATTCAAAGTAATACGACCACCACCTCCTTTACGAACCTTCACTATCACTATCTCCAACTGCCAACAACACCCTACGAATCATAAACATCAAAAGTGCTAAGTCCAAGCCATGGACAAGAACCACTAGAAAAGGCAGTATGAATGTCCTCATTACTTATTCTATCCACATATATCAGCAAGCATGAATCTTTAAGAAAAGCACACAATTCATTAGGAATGTGTCTTTCAGGTTGCCTACTTAATTACTTTTAGAATGTTTTGCAATAAGGTAATAGAACACAGGCATCAGACGTTTTAGGGGAAGCCAAGCTAGAATGTATTGGGAATTGATGCTCAGAAACTAATGATCCCAGAGAAGCTATGTAACAAGGAGAACCCTGGGAAGAGGAAACAGACAAGACCTCATGAGAAAATTAGGATCTGGGGGAGAATTAGAATTAGAAGGGAAGAGAGAAGGGGAGATGGAGGGGAGAAATGGAAGGAGGAGAAGAACACAAGGAAATATGATGCTCAAGAAGTGGGAAGGATAGTGAAGGGAAGAAAGGAAGGAGGTATCTTGATTGAGGGAGCCATGAAAGAGCTATTGAGAAACATAGCACTAGGGAAATTCCCAGGAATCTACAAGGATGATCCCAGCTAAGACTCTAAGGAACAGCAGAGAGGATGCCTAAACTGGCCTTCCCCTATAATCAGATAGATGGCTACCTTAATTGTTATCATAGAACCTTCAACCAGCAACTGCTGGAAGCAGATACAGAGATCTACAGTGAAGCACTAGGTGGAGCTCCTGGGGACCAGTCTGAGAGAGGGAGGAATGATAATATAAGCAAAGGAGTCAAGACCATGATGGTGATACTCACAGAAAGAGCTGACCTGAGCTAGTGAGAAAAAGAAACTAACATGCCAAATTCCAACGCTTGGAGCAGCAGGGCTCAGTGGAAAACCACTTGCCCAGAATTGATCCTATTTCAGTGTTGTATTGGAGGCTTAGCCAGAGCAGAAAAAGGGGTTAAAAAGAATCTACATTGGGAGAAAAAGAAAAAAACAAAAGGATCCAAAAGACCTCTCGCCATAGGTGATATAGTCCAGCATATGGTAAATCTTAGCAAATCCATGAAAATACTATATGAATTAAAAAGCAGTCTCAGAGGTTTCCAAACACAAGATAAATGGAAAAACAAACAACTCCACTTCTGTACACTAGCAAGCAAGGAATAACCCAAATTTAAGAAAACAATTCCATTTACAATACAATCAAAAAAAATCTGCTTAAGAATAAATTTACGGATGAACTTTATACTCTGGAAACCATAAAACAATGTTAGAGAAAATTATAAAAGGTCTAAGTAAATGGAAAAATGTCTTCATGTATCAGAATACTTAATGTTGCTAAGGAGCAACACTAAGTAAGCTGATCTATAAATTTGACACAAAATCCACAACAGATTCTCTGCAGAAATTGAAAGGTCAATTCTAAAATTCGTATAGAGATGCAAGACTTCCAGATAACAAAAAAGAATCTTGAAAACAAGGGAGAGACAGAAAAGAATGTAAGGATTCCTAGTTCTCAATTTCCAAAGCTGTTAAGAAGTCACAGAAACTCAGGAGTGTAATAGTGGGCATCAGCAGACATCAGCCAACAGATTCAGACTGCAATTCAGTGTTCTGCAGGCATGGTGGCTACATGACACCATATCTTTAAATAAGTAAGTAAATAAATAAATAAATAAATAAATGGATGCGATAGGTAGACGATAGATAGATCAATAGATCGACTGACCAATAGATAGATAAATACTTTCAACCTTAAGGTCATTTGATTCTTCCAAGAGCTGCAAGGTAATTCAATTCCCCTCCACAAAAAAAGTCATTTTACTTCCTTGCATCCATTAGAATAGCAACTATTACACACAAACACACACACACACAAACACAAAAGTAACAAGTGTGGGGGAAGATGACAAGAAACCCAAACCCTTACACAGCGTTGGTATGAGTGTAAAATGATGTTACTGCTATGGAAAACAGAATGGAGGCTCTTTAAAAAGTTAAAACTAGATTACCATATGATCCAACAATTCTACTTCGGGGAATATAACACCTCCCAAATTAAAAATAAGAGCTCAAAGACTTAGTTGTTCATGGCAGCATGATTCACAACAGATAGGATGGAAATGACCCAAGTGCCCAACAACAGATAAATGAATAAAAACATGTCACACAATGGGCTACGATTCAGCCTTAAAAGAAAGACATGAATGAACCATAAAGACATTGCATCAACTTAAGTAAGTTAAAAGATAAATACTATTATGCCTCATAGGAGGCAGAATGGTGGGTGCCAGTGGCTGAGGAGGGGATGGCAGAAGTTTCTGTTTAATGGCATCAAGTCTGTTTCACACAGTGAACAAACTCCATGACTGCATCTAGTAATACTAAACAAACACTTAAACTTTACATCTAGAGGCTGGGTACTGTGGCACACACTTGTAATCCCAGCCCTTTGGAAGCTCAGGTAGGAAG